TTGTAATAGGAGGAGAAGTTTTGAAATATTTCAGCTGAAGTCTGCTGCTTTGTTTTCTACAATTGAACTTGGATAAATGAAATGGGGGGCTGTGGCCCTAGTTGGACCTTGTTTCCTTTCTTCTCTGTAAGTTCCTAGATCACAGGCTATGTCACAAAGGAGCAACTCCCTCTCAACCTCTCCCTGGTTCCACTTTTAATTCTGGGGCTTTGGAGTCAAGCCCGTCTTTTCTTGGAGGTGGCTGAGCAGGACCCAGTGATACGTGTTCTCTTATACCTTGCCACCTACTGCTAAAATGAATTGAGGAGGGAAGCTAGATTGTAATGGCCAGTACTTGCTGCTACAATAACATTGAACACTGCAGGGAACCTAGACCCTCACTTTTGTCACATTCTTGGCCCAAACTTGCTTGAAGCAATAACTCCTTTCTAGTTATAAAATAATACTCTGGAAGAAAACAAATCAAGATGAAATATTTTTCAGGGCTGAAAATGTAGTTCTCTGAACATTTTCTTTTTTGTTCTACAAGGATTTATGTATTGGTCACATCCTATAATTCAAACATTTAGATATAACATGCACTGATGCTTCATGTCTCCAACCTCTTGGTGAAACAGGGTATTCCATGTTCATTAATTTTTTTCCTGGTGGTTGATGCATGCCAAATAATAATGATAGTATAATCAATTTTTTTGAGCACTTTCTGCAGGTGAAACACTACAACAAACACATCTCTAGGTTTCATTTTAATAACCTTTGATTAAAAGAAACTCTTTAAAGTACATTGCACACATTTGTTTGTTTGCGAACAGATCTGTGGGACAGACAACGTTATTGTCCCAGGGTTATACTGAAGCATTCAGTGATTTTCCATATGTCAGAAGCTCTGAGACCAAGTGGGTTCAGCTGCCTCTTCACTCATTGTCAACTGTCCCTTCTCAGTATGTCACTTGTGGACAGACTAACTTCCTCCTGATCATCTGGGGAAACTAGACAACCAAGCTTGTTATCTTACATGCAGTTTTAAATTAGTAAATTCTGAATTTGAGATTGACGTCACACCATTGCTCCAGAGAAGCGTGTATTGGCTTAAGATAACTAAGTTCTCCAGTCCTCAGAAGTGTTTCTCGTATCTTGCTTCTCTTGACTATGTCCTGGAAGATGAACGCTTTACCACTTTCACTGAGGAGATAACGGATAGTACCTAGCTCCTTGTCTCATCCTTTATACCCTAGTAATGATGGATGCAACCAAGGTTTGCTTCATAATGGTTTGTAACCAAGGTTTGTCATCGCTCATTAGAACTTTTCCTCTTAGGATGAGAGATGAGAATCATAGTATGCCAGTCTAACCCACCAGGCAAATACTTTGTTTTCAGTTTGGACATTCTGATGTTATTATTGAAAGAGGGACAAGGATGCAAAGAGAATTTCAAATAAGTCTCGAAGTATAATGTGGAAGAGCCAATCCCTTCCTTTTCCAGAAGGCCCCACCCCAAACTGGGTCAGGAAGGGCAGCAAAACAAAGGCAAACTGGGCGCAGTGTCTGGTTTGGAAAACAACAGTGAAGTCCGTGTCGGGGTGGCTCGGACGCGAGTGTTTATTAGATTAAAAGGAGATGAAGGACTAAGGTATTTTTTTTTTTTCTTTCCATGTGAACCTTCAGCTCACCTTCATGTGGTATTTCTGTTTTTAAAAGTTCATGTTTCACTCTTTTTGCCCACCCCCCACCTATGTGTTTCTCATTACATGTAGTAGGGCTTTTAATTTGCTAATTATAACTTTGGTTGTATCACTTAAAGAGTACACACTACTAATATAGCTTTCCTAAGATTTGAAAAGGAATTTTTTTTTTTTGCTCCAGCTGACTTATGAACATAACAGAGTGGACATGATAATGTAACAGAATAACCCAATGGATATGTTTATGTTCAGTGGATTTTAGAATATTATTTTGTTGTTATTCTTGTGTCTTTATTTTACAAAGCTGGAAGGAAAACTTTTCTTTGTCTTTAACTGAGGATAAAACTTTGCCAAGATGTTAAACATTCACAGAATGCAAAGTTGGTGACATTTGTCCTTCTGTTCAACGATAACATGCTATTGCTTTACAGGGCCCTATTCTTATTGCCACTCTCTTATTACCCCCCAAGAGTATCTTCCTTATTGACCAACTTGGTTTTTGGCAAACACAGAACTTCTGCCTCTAGATTAATGCTTTGCTTGGTAGGCCATATTGTATCTTTCAGTTTCTTATCTAAAACAACTTTAAATGTTTAGTGGAAGCAGAAAAAATGCTGCTTTAGTAATATCTAAGTGAGATTTCAGTGTGAATTCCTTGTGGGGGAGCTGCTCACTGATGGTCTTTCTTATACTGACAGGACAACAGTCTCCTGAGAATGACAATACCATCAAGGACCTGCTCCCAGAGAATGCTGGGATCGACCACCAGACAGTTCACCAGCTGATTACAGTTCTCATGAAGTTCATGGCCAAGGATGAGAGTAGCGCTGAGTCAGACATCAGTAGTGCAAAGGCCTTCAACACGGTCAAGCGGCATCTGTATGTCTTGCTCGGCTATGACCAACAGGAAGGTTGCTTCATGATTGCTCCTCAAAAAATGCGCCTGTCAACTTGCTTTAATGCATTCATTGCAGGAATTGCCCAAGTAAGTGGAATAGCATCTCTCAGAGGTCATGCCATTAGATTTTTAGTAGAACCAAGCCATACAATTCATCTTAGTCAACGTTGGTTGACTGTAAGGGTTTGTGCAGGGTTACTTGGCATTTGGCAGGGGCATGTGGAGGGGAACACAAAGATGAGTAACTTTAACAGCTTGGTGCTATACAAGGAATGTGGGATTTTTTTGTTTATTTTTCCCTTCCCCCTTTTCTTTCTTGGCTTCAAGTTGAGAGAGTTGAGTTAATCATGCGACTTAATTCATTGGTTCCTGCAGGCACTTTTCCATGTTTGCCTACTGCTTCTAATTGCTCTGTTTCACATCTGCTATACTTTACCTACCCATCCCCCTAGCCGTGGGCACTCACGTTGCTTCTAGCTTCTCACTATCCCAAACAGCTCAGCAGTGAACATCCTTGTACATGTACCTTATTGACCCATGTGAGAATTCCTTTGGAATATGGATCCTCGAGCAGAATTACTGGATTGTGGGGTATATGTATGCCTAATTTGGCCAGTGCTACAAATCTCGCTCTCCAGAATGGCTGCACCTCTGCAAATGACAGAGGATTTGGGGTTAGAGAGACTGGATGTGAATGTCAGTACTGCCACTTATTAATTGTGATAGCCTAGGCATCCTCTGCTTACTTGCTTGCTGGTAACAAAGATTTTTGGAGAGATTAGAGACCACATATTGCAAAATACTGTAATCAGTGCCTCCCTTATGGCAGGAACTCAATAGCTGGTAGCTGTTATTATCAATTAATCAAATAGGTTATGATAAAATCAACATAGATAAAGTGTTAGCAATAGCATGCAGTTGTCCATAGCGAATGCTGATAGCTAGGTAGAGCACCACTAATACTCATGTCTGTGATGAAGAGTTGTTGTTGTTGTTGTTGTTGTTATGTGCCATTGAGTCAGACCCAACTCATAGCGATCCCTCCTTGGTTTTCCAAGGCCATATCCCTACGGAAGTAGATTGCCCAACCTTCCTTCTGAGGATTGGCTGGTGGGTTTGAACCGCCAGCCTTCTGGATAGCAGTCAAGTGCCTTAGACACTAAACTACCAGAGCTCCTGGTGATGGCGAGAGGAGAGACCATTTCAGGCATCAAGCCAACCCTTTCTCCCTCCTTCCCTCCCTCCCTCCCCTTTCTCCCCCTCCCTTCCTCCCTTTTGTCCTTCCTTCTCTCCCTCTAAATGGATGCTTTGCATGTTTGGTTTGGAAATGTAAGCAGACATTTAAAAATGGAAATTAAAATCTCCAGAAAACACATGACAAAAATAACTCACTAACATTTTGGTGCATACCACTTGCTCCAATATACTGGCCATGACTATTTGTATTTTGTACTATGCCTATTAAATATTTTGCTCCAGTTTTTGTTGGGATGGTGAAATTTTCATTTTGATTTGAAAGTGTTCTTTGTCGTTTTCCTTCAGTTATTCATTTCTTTTTCTATTCCAGGTTATGGACTATAACATTAACTTGGGAAAACATCTCCTCCCCTTGGTGGTTCAGGTGCTCAAATATTGCTCTTGTCCTCAACTGCGGCATTATTTCCAACAGCCACCTCGTTGTTCCCTCTGGTCCCTAAAGCCTCACATTCGGCAGATGTGGTTGAAGGCCTTGCTGGTCATTCTTTACAAGGTGAGTTGCTGAGGTCACTCCTTTGTGGTTCGACTGAATCTCCCAGAGAGTACAGCACTAGGAGATCACCCAAGAGAACCAAGCTGTATGTCTCCAGTAGGATAAGAATTTGACCTTCAGAGAAGGCTCATGGTGTAGTTAGTGCTGAGAAGCATAGAGCTACTGCAGTGAAAATAGAAATGGAAGCCATGCCAGCATATTCTCTAAAAATGTTTAAAGTAGAAAATGATTAATTATAGGACATAGATCAACAACCCTTGTTTATGCTCAGAATCTCCTATTTTATCTAAGTAGTAATTATTAAGTCTATCTGAAAACAAAGCAGATATTTAACATTGTATTCATATACCAAATATTTATGCCAAGTAACTACCTTGAAAGGAAGTGTAACTATGAACCAGCATGCATTGCTGTCAGTCGTTCAGTTTAGGAGGAAAGAAAGATGGCCCCAGGTAAAAATATGGCCACAAGAAGAATCTATGGCTTTGCTTTTCTGTGTATTTCTTTTTATCCCTGAAAGATACTGAGAAAAATATCTAGCAAGATCAAGTGGAAAAACTGACCCTCAGAAATAACTGTTTATGTTTTTCTCCCTCCATTTTATTGAGCAGTATCCATACCGAGACTGTGAAATCAGCAAAGTCCTGCTGCATCTGATTCACATAACAGTCAATACACTCAATGCTCAGTATCATAGCTGCAAGCCCCATGCCACGGCAGGACCCTTGTACAGTGACAACAGTAACATAAGCAGATACAGCGAGAAAGAAAAAGGTACTTTGCATATCTGAATTCTATCCTGAACTTAGATTGACTATACATTTCTGGACAGTGTTTTTCTTAAGAGGTAGAGGAGAGCCCCCAGATACCATTCTGGAGTAAAAAAAAAAAAAAAAAAAGTCACTTCTTATTTCATTGATTTTCAGACTTTTCCCATGAATGTTGCTGCTTTAATTTTTAGATGAGCAGTCAAGAGAAATAATTGATAGGCTCCTAAAGCCCATTTCAGAAGATAGAATGTTTTGTAAAATATTGCTGCTTGGTCAAAGAGCCAGTGTAAACCTTTTCTAACTTATTGGAAGAATCTTGCTTTGGGGGCCGGGAAGTCAGTCTCAGTCTGCACACAACGGAGCTGTCATCTAGTAGGTCTCTAGTTTGCTACTGATCTTTGTGCTCATAGAATTTGAATGCATTCCAGTGGACTGCAGTGTACTTTCCTGTCCTCATTATTCAACAAGTAGCGATTAAGGTGACTGAAACAAAACATTTTTGCTGCATAAGTGTAAATTATTTCTAATATCAATCCCCTTTCTGTTAATAATTTCTCCTCAAAGGACACAATAGAATTAAACTTTATATAAAATAAAAGTACAGCCTGATTGCTTCCAGGTGAGGACTGAAGAATCAAGGTGTATATTTAGTTGATGTCCCAGGGTTATTAGACTTGTAATCCAATCCTAGGAGAAAGTCAAGTGTCCAATGACCCTTTGTGATGTCATTACAGTCTGATTTGATCAGACTGTTACTCTGCTCTGGAACTTTCTCAGTAGAATGGACCATAGCCCGTATTCTGTTGTTTGTCAGTAGCTGAAAAGTCCAGGTCTCTAGGCTGACCAGTTCGGGTACCATTCTGATCTTCCCTGGAGAGTATCTGTCTACTTGCTTAGATTTCTGGGAAATTGAGAAGTAGATCTGGTTGAACTGTGGATGTCCTCCATCTGCGGTTAGTCTGGATGGGAGGTGCCATCTTGAGGTCTTTCCATCTCTGTCATTTGTACCTTTGGAGCCTAATTTCAAAGTTAGGTAATGGTACTAGTGTTAACTAGTTGCTTGAAGAACTGTATTCTTGAAAAGAAGAATCTTTTTAAAAAAGAAGTAAAGAAAACATACCATTTGTGTTGTGTCTCCTCAGAAACATGGGGATTGATAGGTTTTCCTGTCTTCGTGAAAGTGCAATGGGATGGTCATTAACACTCATTTTCCATTTGGGCTAAGAAGATTACTATGTTGATTTCATCTAACGTTTACTGCTCCAGGTTTCATTTTCTTGTAGAAACTTGTGCATTAGGACAGGTTTGGCTCTTAACACTCAACTCTTTGCTTTGTACTCCCCTTTTTACTGAAGAAGTCTTAATCATAATCACACCTGAGACCCATTTTGTCCTATAGCTAGACATGATTAAAAGCCAAATCCTGTGATTTGATTAAACGGTTAATTCCATTTGGTGTTGTATTAAATACATTTGAATAGCTTTTCCTCTTGCTGTTTTGTATGTGGTCTTTCACCAGTCAACAGGATGAAAGAAAATTTGTGAAGTGAACTTTGTGGGTTGCAAAGTAGCAACCACTTCCTCCTCAATTGGTGTTTGGGTTCACTTCAATTTAAAAGTCGCCAAATGGGCATAGAAGAGGACATAGAGACAAGTTCAGCAGGCGCTCAGGTGACCAATCTGTTTAGAGTCTTAGGATCCTAAGAGTCAAAGATCCGTTCTGGGGTTTGTGAGATCCACGATAGCTACATGTGGCAAACTCCTCAGAGCCTAGTCCTATTTGAACAGGAGGAAATGTTATTTTCTGTTTTCTTTTTCCTTTGTTTCCTCTTTCAGTCCATGATCATTTGTGGAGCTTTTGAGACAACCAGTGGCTTTTCTAAGCTTTTCCTGTGTGTTGTGTGTTTCATTACCAAATGTAGAGTACAGTATTTTGCATTCACCAAGTATAAGGTGCATGGACTGTTAGGCTGTGTCTATGCCAGTTCCCAAATCCCAGGAAGGCATACATGATTTTGGAGAGGCCAGATCTACCCATTTTATTTCATTTCTTTTGCCAAATTAGCCTGAAACTTTATCCAAAGCAGGCGAGTTCAAGCAGTGTCACAGCCTCCCAGAAAAAATAGCTGACATCTGTGGTCATCTGGTATGAAATGTACTGGAAATGTTTCCCCAGGAAGGGGCGTGTTGAGATGCTTCTTGAAAATCTACCCATGGTGATGAGCAAAATGATGAGCAGCCTTGCAACATGCTTGCCCCACATAATTCGAAACCTGCATGGAATATCAAGGCCTGGCTAGACTTCGGCTGGTGCAGAAACCACCCCAGACTCTGTCCCATAATGTTCTGTTGAAATACTTGTGTAGACACAGCCTAAGAGAGAATAACCTCTTAAGTGTAATTTTGACTTTCTCTCCCCAATTAGAGGAAGATAGTGTTTTTGATGAATCTGATATTCATGATACACCTACTGGACCCTGCAATAAAGAGTCTCAAACTTTTTTTGCAAGATTGAAAAGGATAGGCGGCAGCAAAATGGTGAAATATCAGCCGGTTGAGATGAATGTTCAGAGAAGTATGAATTTTTTCTCTTAGTAATTTTATGCAGAAATGTTGTACTCTACTGTTTGTTTGGGGTGAAATCTTAATTTTATTATGTTACTACACATTTTGATACTGTTGATTTTTTATATATATGTATGCACAAACAGTATATATATATACACGTTTATATATATACGTGAGTTGACAGATACATCATTGACGTCATGATCGTCTTTGAGGGCCATTGCTTGACTTGATTTGTTGCAAACCGTTTGCTTCTCTTTCACACAATTTGAATACAGTTTCCTAGAATGGTCTCAGCCAAAAATGACCCCCCTCTCTTGTGCACAAATGCCTAGAGCTGAGCAATTATCCCAAAGCCTGATTTCGGAAATTAGATCTCAAACTAACATTTTGGTTTTTTTCGTTCCAAAGTTTTCTGATTTTTGAAATTAGAATGAACCATCCAAAAACTTGGCCAGAAAGTCATTTTTTCCTTCTGGTGGAGCTGGGATTGTGATTATGATTTATGCCAATTTTATGCCCAAGTGTGAGGGGAAAAACGGTGAAATCTCCAAGTGAAATAGTACTAGCTTTTTTTGTTTTAATCAGGTGAAATAGAACTGGCTGAATATAGAGAAACGGGTGCATTACAAGACAGCATTCTACACTGTGTGAGAGAAGAAAGCGTTCAGAAAAAAAAACTGCGCTCTTTAAAACAAAAATCTCTTGATATAGGGAATGCAGACTCCCTCTTGTTCACATTAGACGAGCATCGCAGGAAATCCTGCATAGAGCGGTGTGACGTAGATAAGCCTCCCCCGCCAGCCTCCTGCATCCTCCAAAGACAAAGCGACCACGGACGTCCCAGACAGAATTCCGCCACACGGCCTGCCAACGCTGAGATCCCCGAGAACCCAGCCATGGAAAGTTTCCAAGAAACTCGAAGACCTGTAATACCAGAAGTAAGGTTAAACTGCATGGAGACATTTGAGGTGAAGGTCGATTCTCCCGTCAAACCTATCCTTAAAGAGGACTTAGATTTGATAGATTTGTCCTCAGATTCCACGTCAGGGCCTGAGAAACACTCTATAGTCTCGACATCTGACAGCGACTCTCTTGTATTTGAGCCTCTGCCCCCTCTCAGGATAGTCGAGAGTGATGAAGAAGAGGAGATGATGAACCAAGGCAACGATAGTGCCTCTGGTAACAACGCTGCCTCCTTCCCCTCAATCCCCAGCCCTCCGTCTGTCCTCAGCCTAAGCACAACTCCCCTGGTGCAAGTAAGCGTGGAGGATTGTTCCAAAGACTTTTCTTCTAAGGACTCAGGAACTGGTCAGTCAGCAGGTCACAAGGACTCTGCTCCCATGGCGCTGGAAGACCCCACAGACTCTGAGGAGTCCTCAAAGCCAGAGGAGCTGCCGGAGTCCCCCCGCGGCAGCCCTCTCACCCTTAAGCAGAAACGAGACCTCCTTCACAAGTCCTTTGCTCTCCCCGAGATGTCAATGGATGACAACCCGGACCTTGGCATTGAGGAAGGGAAGCTTGGTGGGCCGACTCTAAGTTCAGGGGCAAAAACGATCCTCCTGAAGGTTCCAGAAGATGCTGAGAATCCGGCTGAAAGGGATAAGCCTGACACCAGCGCTGAGTCAGACACAGAACCGAACACTGAAAGGAAGGTGGAAGAGGACGGAGCAGAGGAGTCGGAATTTAAGATTCAGATTGTCCCCCGGCAGAGGAAACAGAGGAAGATTGCTGTGAGTGCGATCCAGAGAGAGTACCTCGACATTTCCTTCAACATCCTAGACAAGCTCGGGGAACAGAAAGAGCCAGGTGAGTCCACCCCTCTTCTTCCTTCCAGCCTTGCCTTCCGTTTGTGCATCTTTCCTGTCAGGGTATCGGCACTGACTCTGCGTCCAACTCTAGATCTCATAATGTCAGGGAGTGACATTGTAACTGCTTCATCATCACTCGCAATCCTTCCTGCTCACTAGAGTATGTTGGATTCACATGTGGGTTCTATTGGCTCCATCAGTGTTTTTGTATTTGTTGTTTTCAAACACGAAAGTCAGTTCTTGACCACTCTTGGCAGTAAGAGGCAATAATTAATTCATATCAGGGTATTTCAAATCCTTCGACCTTCTGCAAACAAAAGCCAGGTATTTGAACTGTTTTCCCTCCCTCCCTCCCTCCCTACTTTCCTCCCTCCCTCCCTCCCTCCCCCCGCCCTTCCTTCCTTCCTCCCTCCCTCCTTTCCTTTGCATAGTCCAAAGGAGGAACTAAAGTGAACGGTTAAAATAAAGCAGTGACAGTTTGCAGTGATTAAGAATTGACTGTATCATCATTTATCTGATTATAAAGACTTACCACATATCAACAGTCTGTATACTTAGGAACCAAAACAATGGCAGTTACAACCTAGACCCTAATGTACAGCCACCATGTGACAGCGATGTGGTTACAGCCCACGGATTTCCTGCTTCGGGTGCCATTTCTCACCTTTCCTTGGAGGCGCTGTTTCCAAGAAAGATAACTTGAAAGAATGGCAAACCAGTAGGCCACCTCATCCTAAAACAGTCTTCAGAAGTATTACTGGAATTCTGGTTGGAACTCTTCTTTATTTCTTAGTTCAGATCTAAAAAAAACAATTGGCCTGGGAGGATTATTTTAGTAGCTTCATAGACGGTAGGAATTGGGAATTGGTGAAGCTCTCAGGGACCTCTAGTCTAACCCTTCCCTTTCTTCAGGAGGATACTGAGCTTAGAGGGTGGACTGTGGCTTGCTCTAGGTCACACGATCAGGAAGTAGCAGTGCCAGGACTATTTTCCAGATCTAGAGTACCTCCTAAGAGAATGGACCCTGTTCCTCTCTTTCCCTTGGGCATCTCCAGCAGTTTCCAGCCAGAGGGTACTCTGGGAAAGTCCATTGAATGAAAGTGTGTTGGGAAAAGGTCGCACTCTAGCCAGGCAAGGGGGAGGAAACAATTCTGGTAACAACCAGACAGTTTAAGGTTTCCAGGGAAGTTAGAACTCCTTTTCATTGTTTGGAGCCAAAATTGCTACATTACGGGTGGAGAACAGTATTGGCCTAGAAACGATAGGGTCCACGGTCTTATAAAGTTAGGTGTATATGGAATATGGTTATATTTCTAGAACTGTGTGTTTATGTGTGTGTGTGTGTGTGTGTGTGTGTATTGCCTTCTTTATCCACCATTATAGCAAGCTACCAGGGAGGAAATTGTTTTTGTAGTAATACATTTGTTACCAGAACATCAGAAAAGTATCTGACAATTATGATAATATGTCCTTAAATTTTTAAATATATTATGCTGACATAATTTTCTATCAGGAAGTACCCACCTCCCACAAACATGCAGATATCCTGCCCTGCCTTTTCGGGCGTCGGAAGGAGGCCCGTGTGCCCAGCATGTCTCAGGCTTCCCCAGACCTTGTTGCCTCTGTCAGCAGGACTCAAGAAGGAGGCCCAGCCACCTACCTGCTGCTTGTCCCGATCTCACCACCTTGCCAGCTGCCTTTCTTGTTTACCACTGCCAGGCCGTTCCCTCTACCTCTGAATGTCACGTCATTGGATTGTGTCCCCCATTACTCTTATTGTTGCTGTTATAGCCAACCCCAAGTCATCCTCATATGTTGACAGTTTTGATTCCTGGTTCTTACTCTTTCCCAAATATTCCTTTCTGAATTCTTGTTCATTTCAGTGCTAGTGTAGATGACTCTTCTGATACTCAGGCTTCTCAGTTCTTTGAATTCATCTTTTCTGGTGGTTTTTTTTTTTTTTTTTTTTGCCTTCCACCCTGCCTAAGTTATTCATTCCCATGGTCACACCACAGACCTTGTATTACCAATCACTACACCCTTTCTAGGAGCTCTGGTAGCATAGTGCCTAAGGCACCTGACTGCTAACCAGAAGGCTGGCAGTTCAAACCCACCAGCCACTCTTTGGAAGGAAGATGGGGCAATCTACTTCCGTAGTGATACTGCCTCGGAAACCCAAGGAGGGGTCACTATGATTTGGGTCTGAGTCAACGCATATAACAACAACAGCAACAACAAAAGCACCCTTTCTAGGAGCATGGTTTCCTGTCTCCCATTCTCTGATTACTTCTTCCTCTTTCTCTGGACAGCAGTGTATTAATCCCACTTTCACTGTGCCTCACCACTTCTTGTCTGCTCTCTGTCCTCGACTTCAGTTGAGTGGGTATCAATATAATCCCCTCCACCGACATCCTCTTTGGCCCTCACTTTTTCAGAGTTTCTTGACTAAACACAACCTTCGTTAAATCCAACTCTCCCTCCATCAGCACTTCTACCTATCCATCAGATGAAGGTGACTGGAGAAGAAACATAACAGTGCTGACTAGTCTTATTTTAATTCACGACCATGAACCTCAACTGAATCCTTAAGACTACCTGGCAATCATAGCATGTCCATCTATGTCCCCATTCTCCTAAAGGACTATCTCACAGCTATTTTTGTCTGCAAATTTTGAGTAACTCTTCCTTTGACACAGTCAGAAGGACTCCAGTCTCCTATTATCTCCTCTACCTGCCAGCATCTGCGCTCATACATCTGGCCTTCCTGGCTGGGGCCAGCACCTGCGCTCACACGTCTGGCCTTCCTGGCTGGGACTAGGATGGATCTGGATCTACTCCTGTGTAATGCCAGTCTTGCCACTTGTGGAGCAGATCCCATTATTCTCATCCCTCAAGAATGTATATCTATAAATTCTCCTTTCTTTCTCTTCCCTTAGTTATTTCTTCCTTTCTGTTTCCAAATATAATCTTATTTCTCTCTCTCTAAAAATTAAAAAGCCCTTGATATCAGTTATCTCAACTCTCGTCCCATTTAGCTCATCCTCTTGTAGCAAAAACTTTTGGAAGAATTGTCTATATTCGCAATCCCCAATTTTCTCCTATCCCAATCTCTCAAAATCATTCCTAGGAAGCTTTCATGCCCACTGCTGCACCAAAACTGTACTTGTCAAGGTCACCAATGATCTCCATTGCTAAACCCAATGGCCAATTCTTAGGACTTTTCTTTCAGTATCTATGATATTTGACAAAGTTCACACTCCCACTTTATTTGGCTTCCAGAATACCATACTCTTTTGGTTTCCCTCTTATCTAGCGGCCATGCCTTCTTGGCCTCTCATGCTGGTTCTCCCTTATTTGCCTGATGAGGGAGTGCTCTGAGGTCTTGGTATTTGATCTCGTACTTCTCTGTCTACCCTCACTCTCTTGGTGATTGCATCTAGTCTTGTGGCTTTAAGTATTGTCTGCATGCTGAGACCCCTCTATCAGTTACAGCCTGTTGCTGGAATAATTCTGCATAACAACCATAAACTCTCAGTAGCAAACAATAATCTTATTTATTTCTATTGGTCATCTGGGGATCAGCTAATCTGGGCTGGGCTTGAGTGGGTGGCCAGACTCTGCTTTGTGAGTCTCCCAACCTCCTCCTGGGACCTGTGAAACCTGTTTTTTTTTTTTTTCCTCCTGGCAATGGCAGAGGCACAAATGGAGGACAAACTCCATTGCACAAGCTTTTTTCAAGCTCTTGCTAATGTTGTTGTTGTTGTTATTTGCCATCGAGTCAGCCCCGACTCCTAGCGACCCCTCCTTGGGTTTCCGAGGCAGTTATCACTACGGAAGTAGGATTGCCCAACCTTCCTTCCGAGGAGTGGCTGGTGGGTTCGAACCGCCAGCCTCCTGGTTAGCAGTCAAGTGCCTTAGGCACTATGCTACCAGAGTATCTTCAGATATTCCATTGACCAAAGCAAATCACATGGATGAACCTAAAATCAAGAGTCAGGGAATACATTCTGCCTCTTTAGTGGAAAGAATTTTGGAGTCACTTAGCAGAGGGCATGGATTCAAGGGAGAGTGAAGATTTGGCTCCATATCTTCCCAGTATTACATGGGACATACTCATACTAGAAAATTATCCCTTGTTTATCTGCAATTAAAATTTAAGTGGGTGGCCTCTATTTTCTCCAACAGCCCTAATCTATCTTCAAAATACATCCAGAATCTGGAACATAACCTTTTCTCACTACCACCACTGCTTCCACCCTGGTCTGAGCCACCAACATCTGCTATAGCGGTTTAACTGGTCACCTTGCTGCTGCCCTCATTCCCTTTGTATCTTCTTGACACAGCAGCCAGAGGGAGCCTTTAAAACAGGAAGTTACCTCATTCCTCTGCTTAAAACTCTGCAGTGACTTTTCTTTCAAAATAAAAGCTTCAGTCCTTTAAATGCCTGTTGTTGTTGTTGTTATGTGCCGTGGAGTCAAACCCGACTCATAGCGACCCCTCCTTGGGTTTCCGAGGCAGTATCACTACGGAAGTAGGATTGCCCAACCTTCCTTCCGAGGAGTGGCTGGTGGGTTTGAACTGCCAGCCGTCTGGTTAGCAGGCAGGTGTCTTAGCCACTATGCTACCAGAGCTCCCTTTAAATGCCTAGAGAGCCCTATGTGGTCCTAGCCCTCTTTGGCTCTCAGACTTCATTTTGAGCTGTTCTCTCCATACTTGTTCTACTTGGCCACAGTGCCAGCTTGTGATTTCTTGGACATTCCCTGCATGTTTCCACCTTGGCCTTTACAACACCGTCCCCTCAACCTGGAACTGTCTCCCCTCATACCTCACTTCTTCCAGTTCTTTGATTAAACATCAGATTCTCAACGAGCACTGCTGTGGACACATCCCACCCTCTCACCCCTACCTGGTATCTCCATATTTCTTTCTTTTTTACATTTCTCATCTTCAAAGAATTTGTCAGCTAACAAACCTTGTAATTTACCTATTTATTATGTA